CTGGGAGCCAAAGTCCAAAACATCTGGAGGACCAAAGTTTGGGAACCATTGGCTTAGAGGGTTCTCTTCTTTGAAAAATTGAATCATAGAGAGTTGGGAGATACCCCTAAAGGTCATCCAGTCCAACCTCCCCTGCCATGCAGGAACTCAAAATCAAAGCATCCCCTATGGACAGATGGCCATCCAGCCTCTGTTTAAAAACCTCCAAAGAAGGAGACTGCCATTTCACACTTCCTCTGTAGAACAGCTCTTACAGTCAGGGAATACCTCCTAATGTTGAGGTGGAATCTCTTTTCCTGTAGTTTGCATCTGTTGTTCCGGGTCCTATTCTCTGGAGCAGCAGAAAAGAAGCTAGCTCCATCTTCAATATGACATCTCTTCAAATATTTAAACAGAGTTATCATGTCACCTCTTAATCATCTCTTCTCCAGGCTAAACATATCCAGTTCCCTAAGTCGTTCTTCATAGGGTATGGTTTCCAGACCCGTCACCATTTTAGTTGCCCTCCTCTGGACACACTCCAGTTTCTCCACATCCTTTTTGAATTGTGGTGCCCAGAACTGGACACAGTATTCCAGGTGGGGCCTGACCAAAGCAGAATACAGTGGCACTATTACGTCTCTTGATCTAGATACTATACTTCTATTGATGCAGCCTAAAATCACATTGGCCTTTTTAGCTGCTGCATCATACTGTTGACTCATATTCAACTAAAGAGAAAGATAGTGTGGTATAGTGGTTTCAGTGTTGAACTAGGACTCTGGATACCAGGGTTTGAATCTCTGCTCAGCCATGAAACCCATTGGGTGACCTTAGGTAAGTCACACTTTCTCAGACTTAGGTTAAGACAATGGCAAACCCCTCTCTGAAGAAGCTTGCCAAGAAAATCCATGCCAAGCTTGCCAAGAAAATGTGCCTTAGGGTCACCGTAAGTGGGAAACAAGCTGAAGGCACACAACAACAAGCTGCAGAAAGGTCTTGTGGTGCCTTCAAGACCAGGAACTTGATTTTGACAGGAGCAAATCCTGACCTTTCTGCAGGAGATGAAAGAGATGAAATGCCTGCCAAGGAGGAAATGTCTCTACTGATGTGCGATGGTGGCAGAGGAGGTTGTCTTTAGTTCTTCCTTGGTATCTTCAAGCTGACTGGAAGACTCTAGGAGTTGTAACCTGAAAAGAGCAGCTTTGCCTTGTAGATCTGTAACAAAACAACAAACAGTTGTCTCCTTTGTAATTGCTTTTAAAACTCAATAAATATGTAGATCAATGGATCTTTTCCAACTGCTGTAGTAACCCACAGTTTCTACTTCTTTTCAGCTATGATAGTACGGTACCTAACCAGGAGATTTATTGGAGATTATGAACCTAATACAGGTAAGTTTCTGCCTTTCTTTCTTATTAAGAATGTCCTTTTCCTTGAGAGTAGTACCTATTCATGTTGGGATTCCCTTGAAAATTTATATTCCTAAATATTTATCTCCCTGTACATCTATCTTCCCCCAAATACGAGAAGGGCAGAGGAAAAACAGAGATTTGTAAAGCCCCATTTATTCAATGTACTTATAGTTTGTATCCCATCCTTCCACCAAGGACCTTAGGATAGTTTAAATGTTTTTCCCTAATGCACCATTTTGTCCTCACAACAGCCCCGTGATGTAGATTAGGATAAGAAAATGTGATATGTCTAGGGTCACTTTGAATCTCTCCAATCGCCTTTGGCTCCTCTGGATACACTGTGTTCACATGAGAAAGGAAAGGACTCTCTAATAGGAGCTGCCTTTCCTCTACCAACTAGGGTGGGACAATTTTTAACAATTGTTTATTCTTTCATCTCCAGGGAATCTATATTCAAGACTTGTTCACGTTGAAGGTGATCAACTTTTTTTGCAAATCCAAGACACCCCAGGATGTATTGAGGTACAGAATAATCCTATCTACCCCATTTCTGATAGTGTTATTGAGTTTAGTTTATTCACTGAGAGATTTTAAGGCCAGAATCTTGTTGGTGACTTACTCTGGCATGAACCCTGGTTGTACAGGGCATTTGCACAAGGAGGTAGTTACTATCTCCTTGTGCAATGCATTTGCCTGGATGTACAGGATGAAGAGCTCTGCCTCTTGCCACATAGATTTGCTGGGTGCTGGGTAGGCTTGAGTACCATCCAGCTCAGTTGCTGGGGTAATCATGGGAAGCCTTTGTCAGCCTAGATCACGAGTGTAGCTGTCCTGATGGAAACATATGCTTCACCAGCAGTTCAGTGCGATCTTGGCCTAATGTTGGGGAAACTCCCATTGAATTCAGTGGGCTATGGATCAACCCACCTTTGTACAGTCTCACTGAAGTGATTTGCCCATTGCTTCAAAGTAACATTTTGGTCTAAATCCAGTTGCTAGACCCACTGTATCAATGGCATAAACATAATTGTTGAGTTACCCTTCAGCAGTTAATTCAGTGTGTCTTCTCTGGTCTAGCAATTGAATCTGAGCCTCTGTTACATAGGATAGACAGGAAGAAACACCCTGAAAAGACTAGTGGTGTATAGAATAAGCTGGAAAATGGGATTTCCCTTCAGTGATTTGCCAATATTTGGACAAATTTAGCATTCAATGTGCAGTCTGTTCCAATGCTGTGCTTGCTAGGATTCGTGGAGCTATAGTCCAAAAAAAGTAACTTTCCTGAGCGTTGCCTCCACTGTGTTCAAGTAAGCATAGGACTGCAGCTGATCTCTTATGCCAGCAGTTGATGGGAATTTTAGTCAAAGCCACCTGGAGGTCACTAAGTTGGTGAAGTCATCTGGTGGTCACCAACCTGGTCACTAAGTTGGAGTAGGTCGTCATAGGCATTTAGGATATGATACTTCATAAAGAACAGAACTTGCTGTGCTTCGGGCAGAAAGCACACTGAAAGCTTCCTGTAGCACTTTGCTTCTGCATTATCAGGAGTAATTGTAAAGTATCATGCTAGCTAGAGCTGAAAGTGCCCATTAGGGAAAGAATGCACTTTTCCTTTAATTATCCCTTCTGGATTTAAGTGCAAGCATTAATAAGCACACTTGTAGTTGTCACATACAGAGAGTTGTTTGAAACAATAGCAGAAAACATGTCACATCCAGTGCCACTTGCCCTTTATAAATCTTGAACTGTTGACATGGAATAGATTGTGGGAGGTGAAGCCTCTGTTCCAAAACAACAGATAAATTTTGAGGCAAACCTACTCTTAATAATGAGCAGCCTTTCCAATTGCTGTTGTTGTAAAAGCTTTATACCTCATTCCCCAACTTATTAAATAAACATGTGCACTTCTTCACAGGTTCAAGAAG